GCACGCGCCGGCTCGGCCAGGCTGGCGTTACGGAGGCGGAGGCGGGGCGATGGCGGAACGTGATCCCGGGGTGCCGCGCTCCAAGGCTGGAGAGGCGTGTCCCGGCGCTGCTAGGATACGGGGGCGGGGCCTCCCAGGATGGGCGGGAGCCTGGTGCATTTCTTCCTTGGTTCTTTCAAAAAGTTACAAAGTAAGAAGGAACTGTATGCTGAAGAGGGCTTACAGTGTCGTCGTTTGTGTGAAGGTACGGAATGTTCTGGAACTAGATGTGATGGTTGCACAACTCTAAATATACTAAAACCTACTGAATTGCACACCTTCTGTGGGTGAATTATACGGTAGTGAATTATATCTCAATAAAGATGTTAATAAAGAAGATTCTGGGACATTTTGTTTGGTGTCTCCCCCACCCTGGCTAAATAAGTCCTGTGCCCCGGTGCCCAGCACCCCCAACACACAGGTGCTCGCTCGCTGAATGGGAGGACGGCCCAGCACGCGGGCAGCAGGTGCCTATAGCTCCCGTGATGCTGAGCCCTTCCCAGGAGAAGCCTCAGGAGAAGCCACCTCCATTTTACAAGCGGGGAAACTGAGTCTCCCCCAAGGCCACACAACTCAACATGGGCAGAGGTGGGGTCAGAATCCAGGCAGGCTCAGCCGGTTTCTTTATCACAGTTTATTGCTCCCTACCTCAAGACAGTCCCAGTCCCCTCCCTGCCCCTCCCCTGTCGCTCCTGCTAGCCCTGTTGCCACAGAGCATCAGGCCACAGGCTGGGATGGCCAGCGGCCAATGATCTTCTGGATCCAGGACACATAGGGGGCCATGGTCGTGGCCACGGGAGGCATGAAAACATCAGTGCAGGTCTTAGAGCTGAAGGACAGGATCCCAGCTAGTCGGCCTTTGCCACACACCAGGGTCTTGCCTGAGTCACCCTGCTGGAAGGACACAGCATGGGTTAGCCTCTGTGCCCACTGGAGGGTGGCCAGGGTACCCCAGCTGGAGCCTGGTTATCCCCAGGGCTTGGTAAGACACTTGGGGCTATTCACAAGCCCTACACACATCCCCTCCTCCCTCCTTCCTTCTTGTCCTTTGAATGCTATCAGCTTCTTCCCACCCCAGGACCTTAGCACATGTGGTACTCTGTGCCCAGATCATCCTTGGTGCTGGAGTTCACACCACAGTGCTACAGCTCCTGGACTGTGTGACGTTGGGCGAGTTGCTTAACCTCTCTGTGCCTCTGGACCTGTACCTGACAAATAGGTCTGCTGCCACCTTCCAGGACTCCCCAGAGGATGGGAGTGACAGGGATTGCCTGGGTCACCATCCTGGCCACGGGCTGCTGTGGGTGCAGACAGTGGAGCCCATGGCCCTCCTGCCAGGCCAAGCTGTCCCCCCCACACACACACCCGTCACCTTGCGGAGGGCTTGGTTGTTGGAGTCAGCAGCTAGGCAGACCATGTGAGGGATAATGCTGTCATGCCACAAACGACTGTTATTGCACATTCTGGCGTCCAGCAAGCAGACATCCAGCTCCTGCAGGGCCTGGGCCAGCTGCCCACCCTGGGGGATCGGCCCCCACCCGGCCACGTGGCACCAGGCTCCCGCCACCATGGCCTGGGGCCTTCTAGGCAGGGCCAGGGGCTGGATGGTCCTGCTGGGCTTCACCTTCCTGTCCAGCTGCAGGTGACAGACAGGAAGGGGCAGGTGAGTGAGGTGCGACTGGGGGAGGAGCAAGCTCTCAATTCCCCTCCCCTGTCCCCCCAGCACCTTAACCAGTGCAAGGTCGTTCTCCAGGTCTGGGGCCAGCTTGTAGTCAGGGTGTTGGACAGCCCTCCCGATGTGAAAGGCGAGGTGGAGGTCGTGGAGGTGGTGCAGCCCCAGCACCAGCCTCAGCAGTTCCGTCCTGCAAGTAGTGGGAATCAGGGTGTGGACGGCTGGCCCTGCCTGGGCAACCCCTGCTGCATGCAGCCCCGGTCCCCTGTGCATCACTCACAGTAGGGCCGAGGACTTCTTCCCCCCCACACCCTGGCCCACGCACACCAGCAGGACCCCTTGCCAAGTCTTTCCATATGTCTTCTCAATCTGCACCATCCAGGTAGCCTTCCTTACTCCAATTCCCGCTCAGCCCTGGCCCCAGGACAGGAGCTGTGTGTCCAAAAATGCCAACCTTCACCCTGAGGCTTCTGGAAAACCAGCTGCAGGATCTCTCCTCACGGGGGACTCTAGCCACAACCACATTAATTTGTTCAGAGGTTGACATGTGCCCATCCTCATAACTTTGCCCAAACTATAGAGAAACAAGCTCTCTTTCCACATGACTCAAGGGGTCCATCCTTGCCACCATGTGGAAGAGCCTTCCTGATAAAGTGGCTGAAAGGGAAGACAGGAGAGCCTAGCACCTCACTTGAGCACCTGGATCAAGCTGCATCTGAAGCCATCTCTCCCACACTTTTGAGTTACATGACCCAACAAATCCCCTTTTGTTGCTTCAACCAGTTTGATCTTGGGTCTTTATTATTGGTCAGTCTAGAGGTACATGGCTCTGCCACCTTTCAGGCCAGCTTTCTCCTCAAGGTCATGGGTGGCAGTGTGACAGTGGCCCCACTTGGTCCAGGTAGAAAGAGACAGCCATCCTGTGCTTCTTGTTGCAGATGAAACTTCCCCAGGAATCCCTGCAGCCTAATGTCACATATGCACACCTCATCTGTCCCTGGGGAAGGGAAGGCCCCCACAAATGGCTTAAATCTCTCAGGACCCACCCCCCTGGTGAGAATGGGCACCATGTGGTGGATTCCTGGGGTACCTAGGGAGACTGAGTGGCTGGGTAGGACTACTAATGGCTTGGCCAGGCAGTGGGCAGCTGTCAGCACCCACTGGTGGTGCACGAGGACCCCCCAGCACAGGTGGGAGCCAGCTTTCTGCAGTGAGGCCATGTATGGGCGTGAGTGGGGGGCAGCCTCGTGACCCCCAATGATCTGAGCCTCCAACATGTTCCCTACTGGGAGGCGGCAGAAAGAGCCAGGTTAGGTGTGAAGTATGCATAAAAGCAAATGTACTTCACAGGGCCTGGTTTTCCAAAGACGTGCAGTTTCAAATATTGACCTTGCAAAGGACAGGAAATTTTCCCAAAGCTATATAGTCTCTGTTGTAAGATAAAGAATTGTAACACAGCAAGGTTGCTGGCTCAAAGATAGACAGGTTACCAATTGATATGTAAAGATACTGGGAAATTGCTGTAAGAAGAGAATGTTTGCTAAAATCAAGCTTTTGTTGCAAACTGCATTATGGAAGGTCACCTTGGCTGAATGTTACCAGCTTCTATTGTTAAACTTGTTCAACTGTACTTAGCAAAACCCCCACCTATGTTCTCTTCCTGTAATTTCCTGGTCTGGAGAATAAATGTGGGAAGAGAAGCCCAACTCGGGGTTAATTTCCCAAATGGAAGGAATGCCTCTATCTTGAGGGCTCTGGGAGATTAACCCCCTTTCGGGGGTTCTCACTGCTCAGAAGAGATGGGCTTTGAGTAATCTTTGGTGGCTCCATCACCCAGGGGGAAAGGGGTGACAAATCCATGGGAGGCGAAGCAACAGTTAGGCACCCCTACTCCTGCCGTGACACTCCTCCTGCAGGCCTATGTGAGTTCTTGGACCCACACGGATTTTTATTTGATAAAATCCCCAGTGCTCCCTGAAACTTTCAGGCTAACACTTGGGGTCGCCCTCTATTCCTCCTGTCCCTTATCCTGATCCCCCGCCCACAGGTCCCCCTGGGTACCATAGCCCAGACCCTACTCAGCAGCCAGAGGAGTCCTTTGAAATGTAAACCAGCGGAGAAACTGGACCCTCTCGCCAGTGGATGTAATGTAACATGGCCCAGGCGCTGTGGAAACAGCGTGGCAGTTCCTCAAATGTTAAACACGGTCACTGTGTGACCAGCAATCCTGATCCTAGGTATTACCCAAGAGAAACGAAAAAGTCCATCCACACAAAA